AAATATTTGATTGATGTTCCGCTTAAATGCACCAGATCTGTTCCGGTCCTTTTTGATTGCAATTCCCTAACTTTAATGCCTTGCAGACCAAGCATATCTGAAGAAATTTGAAGGTTTTATAAGTTACGGTTTTAATACCTTCTTTTGCGGAATAACACAAGGAAACCTGTTGTATAAGAAAGCTTGCTCTTGGATGGGTTGCAGTAGTGTGGTACACCAGCTATGTTACCGCGATTCGGAAGCATTTATATAATCTGGAAGTACCCATAATATAACAGATCGAGGTATATTTGTTAGTGGTCGAACATGCTCATGTTCAGCCCAGTTATGCAGTTTTTCATTAGTGCTTTTTTTATTCCGCTGCAGTAGCATTGATTGCAGATCACCAGTTTACTAGGTTCTTGAAACTGCCAAAATAAAGTAGTTGTGTCGTTATCCCATATAAATATAAATATGTTCATATTATTCTATTAATTGTTGATATATGTTTTCTGACGGTGTTGCTAGTTTACAGTTAGGGATCGTTTTTGGAGAGCAAATCTTAGAATTGTCGTTCTCTTGATTGTTGATGTAACATTGTGGAACCTACCTTGGACAGTAAACACTGAAGATCGTTTCTTGTTAACTATTGCATACCTGAAATGCGATGTGTAACGGCTGAGTGTAGTATGTGCATTTTACCATATGTGCATATTTTGCAGTTGACGAAATATGATATTGGTGAAAACCAGTTATAGCTGCTTCAATTAAATAGTTAAGTTAAGGTTTTCAAAGGAAATGGTATATTGGCTCTGGCCATGTGGTTGAAGAAAGAACGTATAATTCCTGCAACCACATGCAACCTTTGAAATTTGTCACTCTTCATTTTGTCTGAATCAGGACTTATATATGTACCGATGGTTGTTCGGATTATTCACGACCGACGGTAGTCGAAAGATAGTGCATTTAAATCTGGCCCAAGTCTGTCACTTGTCATACTTCAGAGTCAGATAAATCATTGTGTAGAAAGAAAGCAGGAGACTACAACAGGTACAAAGTAGTTACCATTTGGCTCTAAATATAACCTTCTGAAAATTATAAGATATTTGTGACAAGTGTTATCGAACAGAAAATTCCATGTTGTTACTCAGCGGCAAAGTGCGTTGCAAATCATTTCTCATGAAATTTAACTTATACCGACATCCGAAAAGCTATGAGATTACAACCTTTCCCTTTTTTTCTTGCAATGGTGACAGTAGAGCAATTGAATTTTCATGGATGTCCTCAGTGTACATTCTCATTTTGAAAACATGAATTTAAATTCAGATACGAGCTGACCTTTTTAATTAAATGCCAGTTAATAATTCTTTTAATAGTAATACCACTCACTGAATGTTGTTTCGTTCTTTCGACAATCACTAAGATGGCTGGTAACCTGTAAACCTCAGTGCTATCATGAAAGGATTTGCACAAGTTATTGATTATGTCGTTTGTCGTGTACTATTTGGATGTATGCAAAGCCACTTGACCTTTCTAGTAGTTAGTCTTATCGGTAATCCGGATAAAATTCAAAATCTAATCAGAAAGATTTATCTTTGCTCTAATCTTTGGCTTGTCCTAAAGAGTTTGCAAAACAAGTATTACCCAGCATCATTAGTTGGTAAAACTGTAAATATAAATTTGCCTTACGTTCTGATCTGACTATTTTCAAGAACTTTTAAGCAGAAATACTTTTTAGGCGTAGGCGATTTTCGGATCAGCGAAATCACCAGTCTTCCTGACCCTTGTCCGTTGCCGGAAAAAGAGAAGAAACGTTCTCTGAGTGACAAGGAGAAACTTATTTACGCTCCTTTTTCCGGCGTTGGAGGCATAATGCTCGATAAAGATGCGGTGTACATCGAACTTGGTGGCTCCCACTCTCACGCTGCGGTAGGTCTTTCGTTTCGTGGTAGTTTATTCGTCATGATAACGCGTTATTTTCAATTTTCCAGGGGAAGGAAGGTGCTCAGGGAAACCTTTTTGCGTCGGTGGACGACTCTCAGTTAAGCATCGACCAACAGGTAGCGGGATCGCGATTGGCACTTTTCACCGATTCAACACCCATTCTGTCTTCAGATCTTCAGCTGGACTCGGAATCGTAAGCAGATATGAAAAACAATGGCTTGTGCCAAATTTTGAATTAATAAATTCGAATCACTGGCTTATAGGGTTTCTGGTGAAGAACATCCTGCTAATTCAGATCAAACGAGTTCGACCGATTTGTCAGCCAGTGTAACGTTTTTTTGCCTATTTTTTTAACTTAAATCCAAGAGTGTAAACGTGTAACTGAACATAGCATCATTAGAAGCTTTTAACTTTTCCAAATTCAGATTTCACCGGTATTCATCGTCTCGTTAGTCCTAAATGCCTTTGGAACCCGTTGGACACGGCTCAACATGGACGTGCATTGTGGTTATCTGTGTATCGACATCATATGAAGACGAAACTGGCTGATCTGAGGCACCAATGAGGCATTAATCATCCATTCTTGCTAAAACTTCAATCACGACAATTGATATGAATTCTGCGCTGATCAGATAAACTTCATCACGCCTATCGCCAGGAAACTATTTAAGCAGCTGTACTACCCAGAGTTCACCTTCTGGTTTCACGCGATCGAATGTTACAGACAACTATTCCCCTTTCCATTTCTTCGACTTACCAACCGCATTGCCTTGAAGCAACTCTGTGAGACATTGGTAGAAACACTGGTATGGGCCTCTCATCCAATAAACCACAGTATTGCTTTACGTAATAAGCTTTTTTGATAAAAGTTAAGCCCCGAATACTATGAATTTGCAAGAAAACTGCAAATTTTCATTACCGCCGGCAAAAATGACAATGCGCTGTCACTTTTCTGCAATCATTGAGTTGCAGCATCGTCATCCTGCTTCTTGTGGGTCGTTTCAGCAGGCCACGGCTCCAGAAGCGAAACATGTTTGAAAACAAACGGTTGTACCTCGATCCGTAGACATCTTGCTCCACCCAAGATAATGGTAATGCTTTGTGCCCGTGCGCCCCTGCAGATATTGAAATAGTACAGAGCTTTGGCTTGTCCAAGTGGTCCCTTAGCTTACTAAAAGCAAAGGGGCAGTGGGACTACGCCCTGCTGATCTGCAGAAATGACTGGAGAATACACCATTTTGTACTGTTTTTTTAAGTTTCAGAAACGGTGTATTATTTTTTGGTTTATCGTTATGTTGCAGGAAGAAGATGAAAATGCATATTCGTTGATAAAGAAGAAAAGGCAAAAAATGGTATTTGTTATTATGTAGTTTTTTTATAACGTATGTGTATGTATATATGTATGTATATGTAAACGTATATAACGTTTACATGTAGTCTTTATCATTCTCCTATTTTTTTTCAGGATGAAAAAGCTGCTGCCCCTCCCAAGAAGAATCTGCCCATTTCTTCGGCAACCGAAGACGCGGCAGCTCTGTTTCGAGACAGACAATTGGCAGCGCCGATAAATTGGCAGAATCTCGTATATACGAAAAGTAAGGCTTGCTTGTACACTGTATTGTTCTTTTCTTAACGACCAGTTTCATTTGTGACATTTTTTTGCAACGAGGTATTCGTCTCCCGTGGTTTCAGCAAATCGTATTTTCATGTCCAATATGTTTTGTTTCATTTTTCCACTTTATGAATTTCTTATGTATTAATGGTAACGTGCGAGTTTATATAGTTGAGGATTGAAAATTATTATCTTTAAGGATGCAAATTGCGTTTCAGTTTTCTGATGATTATCACTAACGACTATTAAATGCGTCGTCTTTCGTTTGGAGGGATGTCAGCATGAATGTACTAGTCTAGGAAACTTCCTGTTACTTAACTATTTAAGTAATTTGGGGCAAAGAATTTTATAATTTCAGAATTTCACATCGTCGATAGCTAGAAGCAATTGAATACGCTGTGAAATCTACTCTTGAAGGAATTTTATGATCGCCAGTTGGTATTTCGATATCGTCCATGAAATATAGTTCCTGTTTTCCGTTTGCTTTCAATGCTGCTATCATCTTCCATTCATATATGTAATTCCACGATGCAAAGATGCTACCACTCTCCATTTTTGCGATCACTACTGATAGTAGCCTCTGTTTTCTCCCTCTGTGTGTTCATCTGTTATACAGAGCTACCTTAGGAGGTTTAATAGATCCTGATAATGCTAGATTAATAGGTCCGCTGTTTCATTGGCCATCCTGTCAAGGGTCCGTCATAGGTATTTGTAGCAGTCACCGGGTCTTTGAAATGCTTACTCCACCGTGATTGACCTTGGCATGTCATCCGTGATTTCATCTCTCCGTGAAAGAGATATCGGGTTTGAATTACGGACAGGGTTTCGCTTCGGTATATAACGTTACTGGTCATGTTGTATTGTGCTCTTGTGACAGATTAGTTAATTATTCTACCATATGGATACCGGTAAATCTCTTTATTTCAGATCGTTGATTTATACGTTATACGTTATATAGCAAATATGGTATAACGCGAGATGTTCGGCTGACGTGATAGTGATGATTGATAACAGGTGGCTAACAAATCTGATGTTTTCAGGAGCAGTTTGTCAGTATAGAAGACTCATTCTGTTTCTACATATTATCGGATTCAGATTGCATTGCACTGTTCTTACTTATTTTTATTTTCAGAAGGAAACATACTAACGTTTTTATGACATACTTTAGTCAGAACAAACTAATACATTAACTATGCTTTGACGGGCTTCTCAGAGTTTGTGGTACTGTAAAGTGATGATTTCAGTCTGAAATTCTAGACGCGATGGATGAAAACCACACTGAAGCTGGTGGTGAAGATGGAGAAGAAATCGGATGTCTCTTTCGCATCAGCCAGCTGACTTCGATGAATGGTCCATCGACCAGCAAAATGTGCGACCAACCTGACTGTACGTGCTACTCGCCAATTAAACCGTGTCACGAACTTGAGTGGATAGAGCGGGTATGCATGTAGATGTTTTCTTTTGGGTGTGTTGCAGTATTGAAATTCACAGGATCTCGCGGCGATAAAAGACAATTTTGTGACGGGCAACTGGGGTCTCGACGAGGATGCGGAAGCGCTGCTGAACCGTATGGAAAGTGAGTAGTTCGGTGTATGATTTTCCGAAAAGCGCGATTTTCTTTGAAAAAAAAATAGACGATGAACACGGCGCTTTCGAAAACCTAGAGGCCGAAGACAATTCTCAACCTGCGGAAGAGTCAGAAGGATCAGAAGTTTCTAACGACCATAGTGATGCGAAAGGTAAATGCAAATTACTTAGAGCAAAATTTCTGAGAGGGGCGTAGGGGAGTAGGGCATTAGCAACGCTTCGTCAGGACAAAATGAGCCATGCTATATGAGTACGCGTAAAAAAGCAAGGTAACGTAACGTGTCTTTTTACTGTTGTTATAAGCAATGTGGTAGCTGCCCCCAACACCCGGTTTAGCTATTATTTACATCGTCAGAATTGTGTAATTGAAATTCTTTATGCAAGTGGATTGTTCTTTATCACGATAGTCTTCAAGATGTTTAGAGTTTGTTCTGTACCAATTAAACACTTTGAGCACCATCATAATGAATTATATTTCATGACAAATGTCCTCCTTTATTCTTGGATATATGACGTAAGCGGGCAACGTTATTGCGCTAAATGTTTTAGATAATAATCTTATCCAGTTTAGCGTAACTTTCATTCCATGTCCGCGTATGGTGCAGTAAGCGTTGCCCGGATCTTCTGTTTGTTCTGCCACACACTCACGCCCACAGGCTCCAATCTTTCAGCCTATTAGCAGGACAGGTAAATAAATAGTTAAACTGCGACCATACTCGAACTGTTGACTACGCATGGTTACAATGTCATAAAACTCTAAAAATGGGACCATGGTTGAGGTTTTCGATTATCACCGTTGCCGCTTTTCCATACCAAGTGCAGTGAATGTGGAGAATCTCTGCCGAATGTTCCCCATTGTGTTTTCTCAATACTGGCAGTTCAGAATGTGTGCATCTTAGATGACGATAACAACTACTAAAAGGTTGAAATTTGAGATCAAGTGCTACCTCATTTTATGCTTTGTTTATTCGCCAACAACCGCATTTTCAGTGACAGAAGAACGCGAAGAAAAGCGCCTGGCGAAAAAACGGAAGCTAAAACAATCGTTTGACTCTGAAT